CCGCCGATGGGACTGTCGGATCCCACCTAGAAATCTGCACGGTCTGGCGGAGCATCAGCACAGGGCCACTCCTCAGACGCGGACACACGTCCACCATCGCACACGGCAGTTACGAAACCCCCTTGCGCTAGCTGCCTTCTGACTTTGCCAGAGCAGACTGTTCACCATGAATTCATGGCCACCAGGAGGAGCTGTGGGGGGAAGGGGGGTGAGGAGGGCTGCCCTAGTTCCCTGGCTGCACCAGAGATGAGGTACTTGGTGTTTGGATGGCCGACTCCTCTGGTTTCTCTCCAGTGAGATAGAACAGACACCCCCGTTTGACTCATTAATGAACTAGAGATGTGCTGCTGGGAGCAAAAGGGCTTTTCCCCAGGTGAGTACGAAGGAGTATGAGAGAGCAGACAGTCCTCCACCCACCCCCATCACCACAACAGCGTGCGTGGTTTGGCCATTGACTCACCATTATTTGTACAGGATCTGTGTATATCCAGCAAGCCTTACCAAGAGCCAAGAAACTACATTCTGACGTAGGTAGAATAATCCTGTAACATCCAACACAAACGTAGCACTCGTAACGCACCAGACGCTGTTCTAAGAGCTCTGCACACATTTATTTTATCCTCACGACAGCCCTGTGTGGTAGATACTGTTTTTATCCTCATTTTACAGATGAGGAAACTGAGGCACAGAGACACGAAGCGGCTCGCTCCAAGTCACGCAGCTAGTAGGTCGCAGAGCGGGGATTCAGTTGTAGACAATCTGGCTGCAGTCTGTCTCTCTTTTTTAATCAACTGTGTTCTCTTTTACTTATGAGAAAAGGTGGGGGGATGAATGTTTATCTATTTCTAGTTAGGAATAGGCTGTATTAATAGTACACAAATTTAAGGCAAGAATTATTACTAGAGATGAACAATAAAAAGATGAATCCAACAGAAAGACACAAGTACCTTAAATCTGTATGTACCTTATAACACAGATATAAAACAGATAAAGCAGATATTAGCAGAACCAAAAGGAGAGAGGGACAAATCCATAGTAACAGCTGGAGATTTTAACACACCTCTCTCAGTAAATTTTAGAACAAACAAAAATATCAGGCAGCACACAGAAGATTTAAACTGTACCCTTAACCAACCTAATTGACCTCATTGATATTGGTAGAACACTATTCCCAACAACTGAAGAATGCATCTTTTGAAGTCCACCTGACATTCACCACAGTCAGTCATGTTCTGGATCATAGGGCCAAGAACCCAGCACAATTCAGTATGTTCTCTGACCACAGTGGAATTAATTCAGAAATAAGTAACAAAAAGAAAACTAGAAAATCCCCAAATGTATTAAAATTAATAACACAACTCTAAATAATCCAAAGTTCAAGGGAAAACTCACGGTGGAAATTAGAAAACATTTTGAAGGGATAATTAGATTGGAATGTGACAAATTTGTGGATACAGCTAATGCAGTGCTTGGAGGGAGATTCACAGCTTTAAATAAATGTATTGGGGAAAAAACAAGTTTAAAGATCTGTCCTTTAAATTTTCATCTCAGGAAGCTAGAAAAAAAGAAATCAAATGTAATCCAAAGAAAGTAAAAGGAAATTCAGATGTAGGTTGAAATCAAGGAAGTAGCCAATAGGCGTACTATAAAGAAAATCAACAGAACCAAGTTGGTTCTTTGAAAGCATCGATTGCAGTTACATAGAAAAAGCACCTCAATCCATTTCCTTCCTCCTACGGCCCCTGCCACCTACGAAATCGTGAGTTAGGAAATTGATTGTCTGTAGACCAGGATTTTTTTAAAGTCAGTTCTCCTGACACAGAAATGCTTTATGCACTATTGATACTAGTTTGTCAATTCCCTTTTTGGCTTTGAGTCTCTGCAAATTCTTTTCTAACTGTTCTCCTGTCTCTGTTTCCATGCTAAGCAGATGGCCCAGAAATTAGCCAAAAGCAGAAAGAAGGTGCAGTACAAATAACGTCATCAGCTTGGTGTTATGCCTGTTCTTTTCATTTATTTACGTTTTGCCTTTTTATTATTTTGTGTTTTTGTTTTCTGCATCCAGCAAGTTTTCGTTCAGATTTCTTTTTGAACCGCCCCATTAGCCAACGTTTCTCAAAACTGAGTTGCCCAAAGTGGCTGTTTTCTGTTGCTCATGAGCCATTTCACATCAGAGAGACAACAGGCAGCGGATTGGAGATGCTAAATGAATCCTACAGGAGTGTGAAAGTTCCCACCCTTCAGGAGCACTAATGTGGCAGGGACTTGGGTCTGTTCAATTACAGTCACGTTTGACTTGTGGATTTGTCAGATTGCTGGATGCAAAAAAGAAAACTCGCTAATAACCACACTGTGCGGACTTAAACCCTAAGTGAACGAGACGGATGTGCTTGTTTGGTTATCGAGCTTCTAGGTGCTTGTGGGCTACCTATGGGGTGTTGAGGCATCTGGAGCTCCTTCTTAATGGGGTGGCTTCAGGAGTGGGTACGGCTTCTGTGTCGCTGTGATGGTGTGCGAATGTGAAGACCCTTTTACCAGAACTGCATCCAAATGACTTTGCCCCTGCTCTAAACATTGTCCCCCATCACTTGAACAGGGGCAGACACTCTGACTTCTCCAAGGTCTCGGGGTGTGGGTCACTTGCCCTTACTCTTCAATCTGTTGGGCTCCAAAAGCCTTGTAGAAAGGGCAGTTCACGACCATCGTTCCCAGAGTCACACCCTTCTTCTGTAGGGGGAGAAGCAGAGGGGATTGGGCGTCTTCCCCCTTAACCGGCAACGCTCACCCTCGTTCGTGAGTCCGTCCTCTGTGGCCCCTTCTGCTTTGGCGGTCGCAATCTGGAGTCAGCCCTGCCGTTCTGGTGACTGTGTCTCAGTGCCTCTGTGTGTGAGCTAACCTTGCTCCCGTGCCCTCGAGTCGGGGTGAGGCGTTAAGCTTTCCCTTGGTGCATCTTTCTTCTCAGGCTCCCGAAGGGGAATCTCAGCCGATGACCGAGGTGGATCTCTTCATTTCTACCCAGAGAATCAAAGTACTGAATGCCGACACACAGGTATTAGCTGGCCGGCCACCTTTCCCGGGGTGAAGTTCCCAGCGTGGCTGCTCCCAGCCTGTGCCCGTGTCCGTAGGTCCCCTGTCCTCAGCTGCTGGCTTCCAAACAAGCTAGAAGGCTGTGTCTGCAGCGCCCGCTGCGGGGGAGGGGGCCGTGGTGCTCTGGGACTGTTTCCTTGAAGATCTAAGGAAAAAATAAGCCGTGGACGCTGTTTGCAAATCCTTCTCATAAGTTTTCACGAGAAGATTCGTGACCTTGAACAGATTCGCCTTTTACGAAATCACACGTACACACACACGCACGCACGCACAATGCAACCATCACATGTGGATATTTTATTCTTTTAACCTCTCCACCAGAGATTCTACTGGTTGTAAAACGACTGAACGTTTTATTTCACATACCACAGACCCCTTCTTGCTCTGGGTCACTGTTAGTCCAGGGAACTGCCCCCAGGCCTGAGTGGGTGCGTGTAAATCTGGCAGCAGCCTTTGAACCCAGCCCCCACCCCCCACCTGCCACACGGGGACTGCACTTGGCCGGGCTGTGGGGTGACAGACTCTCTCATGGGCCATTAGATGCTGCTCTGGACTCAGCATCCTCTCCCTTATGCCCTCCAGGAGACGATGATGGACCACCCTCTGAGGACCATTTCCTATATAGCAGACATCGGGAACATCGTCGTACTGATGGCCCGCAGGCGGATGCCCCGCTCCAACTCCCAGGAGAATGTGGAAGCCTCCCACCCATCCCAGGATGGAAAAAGGCAGTACAAGATGATATGCCACGTCTTTGAGTCTGAGGATGTAAGGATGCTTCCCCGGATCTCCCCGCTGGGTGACCTGGGCTGCCTTTGGGTGGGCCAGATTCTCTCTCTTTCTCAGAACCTGAGTCGGTCTCATACATGAAGCACATATTTGTTGAGCGCCTACTATGTGTCAAGCACTGTTTTAGGGATACAAGGCTGAATAAACAGACAAGGTATTCAGTATGATGCTCATAGGGAGATAGAAAATAAATAGATAAATGTACTTAAGCTAGATAGCCAGAAGTTCTGTAAGGAAAAATAAAGCCGGGACAGGAGCTATTTCAGGTAGGATAATCAACAGAGCCTTCTCTGAGGAGGTGACATTTGAAGAGAGACCTGCATCAACTGAGACTAAGAAAAGAGCAAGTGCAAAGGCCCTGAGGTAGGGGCCCGCTGGTATAGTTTGAGGATGGCTTAGAATGAGGGGAAAGAGGAGAAGGAAAGCAGTCAGACCCATGAGGGCCCCAAGCGCATGTCTCCTGGGCATGAGGGCATTTGGGGAGGATCATTCTCGGTTGTGTAGCATCGCCCTCTAGACCACAGGACAGTTAGGATTCCTGCTCCTACCTCCCCGCCCCCGCCAGCGGCTGGAGCACCGCCTGCCAGCTCTCCGTCCTCACGAAAACCAGCAGCTCCTCCTGTCTCCAAGCCAGTGAGTCCTAACCCCCATCTTCCCAGGCATCACAGTCAACGGAGAAAATTCATTCACCGCAGAGGCAGGGCCCCTTCCTCCCTTGGGCCTTCTTCCCCCAGGCATCCCTGGAACTGCTAGGGAGGCCTCTGGGCTTCAAGCTTCGTAGGCGTCTGGCTTCTCCTCAAGCTCGGCAGGTCTTAGAAGCTCCCTTCAGGGCCAGGGGCCATGGCCCCGTGATGAAGGTCTGGAACCATAGAGCGCCCCCCCCCCCCCCCCCCCACCGTGGGGCCGTGTCCGCGTCATTGTGCTGATTTTCCTCCCGCCACAGCGGCACAAGCGCTGTTACTCATGTTGAGCAGAGAGCCCGTAGCTAAAGAGAATTGCCTGTGGGAGCCTTGGCTCCTTGAATGAGGCCATTTTTCTCCAGGAGGGTGTTCATCTAGCTGCAGTAAATTGCCTTCCTGCAAGAAGTTAGGAGTCCAAGGCCAGCCGTTCTTCCCCGGGGCTTCAGCCACAGGGAGTGGAGACGCTCACGCTCTCTGCACCATCATCCGCTGGTCTGGTTCCCTAGAATACAGCCCCCCGGGACGAGATGGCTGAGAAGGCAGCCATCCTCCCTGGTATTCCTTGAAAGCTGGAGGCCAGGCATGCAGATGGGGAGAAAATGAGTTCTGGAAGTTTCTCAAAGTTTCGGAAGTGACACTTGGAAGCTTAAGTGTCGCGTGTCCTGCAGGCAGGCTGGAAAGGTGGAGTTAGCTCTGCACCCCCCGCCCCCCCCAGGCATGTGGATGCCCACATGACGCTCTGCTGCCCCCAGCTGGCTCTGAGCTCCTAAGGAGGGGGTCCCTTTTTGTGCAGGCTCCCATCTGGGAAGATGATGAAAGGAATGAGGAAGCAAGAGGTGTGATGAGAGCGGACCCGGCAATCTTACTTTTACCCCCTTTGCTTCTGAAGCAAAGGACAGAAGAGCATTGACTCCAGAGCCAAGAAAGCTGGATCTGGATCCTGCCTCCGCCTACAGGCTGTGAGGCCCCCAAGCTTGTGCAAAATGACAGCATCTCCCCCACAGGCTGCCGTGTGGCCCCAGGAGACAGCGCGCACACAGCAGCAGCCTGTGTGTCTGCCAGGGGCCTCCGTCAGTAACGGCACGCGTGCTGCCGTTTTTCAGGTCATCCGTCCACATGTGCCTCTCGTGCCTGTAGTGATGCCTCGCTCCCAGTTTTACTCAGGACACAGGGTGGCGGTCCTCGTTGTTCATGACTCATGCGTGTGAAGTCACCAGATTCACAGAGTGAGAAAAGTGAAGCATTTCTTTGCCTACAGCCAGCCAGCCACCATAGGAGGTTCCGATTTTAGTGTTCATCAGCTGCTTTTAGCTAAACTGCTACCTTCACCTCTCAGCCTCTGTTCCCTGCCTGTCCAACGGGGGCGATGAAACAGACCCATAGTTCCCAAGTCTAAAGGGCTTCGAGAAGCAAAAGGGGTTTTTGTAGTCCATTGGCTGATAAGCCTATCCGGGACTGCCATGAGACCATGTCTAGGATTTTTCCAGCTTACCATGAATCTTCTCCATTTTGCTGCAGGACTATTACTGTTGGCTACAGGGCAATTCCCCGGGTTCCGATGGGGTTTTTAGACCGTGTGTGATACGTGCACCCTGTTGCCTTTCTAAAATCCAAAATTTGCTAAATTCTGAAACGTGGTCTCGAGAGCTTAGGATGAGGGCCCGTGGCACTATCGTGCTCCCGTCAGTCACAGGCTAGAGGCGAGGACTGCTGTCACGGTCCTTGGCTAGTGCCGAATGAAGCACAGGCGTGTGAGAAATGCTGGTGGCGGCCAGCTAGCTGAATTCATAGCGTGGGTGAATTAATGCAGGGAGAGGCTGCCGAGAAAGAACCTACAGAAGCACAGTTCCTGCCCCGTGAGCTGTGTGACCTTGAGCAAGTTCCTTCACGTCTCTGGGCCTCAGTCTCCTCACCTGGACACTACGTGTTGGGCTCGATCAGGGTTTCCAACTCCGCGGGACCCAGAACCCCCTTCCTACAACAGATGTTCTGTGGTGCCCCGTTACCGTCCTGAAATAAATTTCATAGGTAATAGAACCTCCCCCTTTGAAAATGTGTCCACAGACTAAAGCGTTGCCGTAAATGTAATACAAAGGAAAATTAAAGGAAAGCAAGCCCAAATAAAATTGTACTTACTACAGCATGTCGACGCTCAGGCCCGGCCATTCTAGAAGGAATAGCAGAGCCATCCCATGCTTACGCCGACATAGCGTTTCGCTGAATATTGGAAACCCTTCTTATTTGACCTTTTGAAATGAGAGCTCAGTAGGAACATGGACGTGTAGACGGGCCCCACCCTCATGCAGAATCCCCTCAGTGTGCAGCAAATACACAGGCTGCTGGTGATGTGATTTGCTGGCCACCCAGATAACCACCGATAGCGTTGCTGCTAATGATTTTCCAAAATCTTGAAGCTTACGTCTTGGGGAAGATGCTGGACGAAGCAGTCATCATCTTCTCTCACTTAACATAGCAGCTGTGTGCTTGGAACCTTCCACATGAACTAGAACCGTGCAGTTAATGCCTTTGTGTTCTACATAAGTTGAAGTGGCACCCTGGACTCAGATGGTTTGATCCGGGTGGTCCATGGGTACGAGCGTCCGGTGGGCTCGGGAGTTGTTCAGGGTGTAGAGTGGCTCATCTTTGGGCAGGACCGTCCTCTTCATGACAGTGGGTCCGGCAGCCCTGACTCCTGTCCACTGGATGCCGGTGGCTCCCTTGTGATCACTGTCATAGTAAGACACGTCCCTAGTCATTCTGGGAACGGCCCCTCGCAGGGTTTGGTGCCACGTGTCGACCCACCGGCCCGGCTGATGCCTGGGGCTCCCGGCCCTGCAGGGACCCGAGCACTTTCGCCAGCAGTGCTTGCTCGTTGACCTCTGTCTTCCCTCTCCGGCTACCGTCCAGGCCCAGCTGATCGCACAGTCCATCGGGCAGGCCTTCAGCGTGGCATACCAGGAATTCCTCAGGGCCAACGGGATTAACCCTGAAGACCTCAGCCAGAAGGAGTACAGTGACCTGCTCAACACCCAGGACATGTACAACGACGACCTCATCCACTTCTCCAAGTCGGAAAACTGCAAGGATGTAGGTATTTCTCCGAGCTCGGCCGGAGGGGCAGGAGCCCCAGGAGTGTGGGGGCAGCCCTGCCGGGGAGGGAAGGTGGGACGGTTGAGGGAGGGGCGCGTCATCGGCGGGACGTTGCCGGGGACTCAGGCCCGACTCCTGCTCCCCTCTCGTGAGGGCCTGTCACCAAGGTGGACCATCCTCTGCGCCGGGCAGTCCTGAGCGAGGGTTGGGGTGGGTTCCAGAGGTGAACAGGACCCGTACCCCGCCTTCCCAAGCGCACCGTCTCGGAAACGGCACGGAAAAGTTTAGTGATGGTACTGAGCACAAGCACTGGTCAGAGACCACTGTGAGAAGGGAGCAGATGTCAGGTCTCAGGTGACAGACTCTGTGCTCCTCCAGGGGCGGCCTGTTGCTTCAGACGGAGCTTTGCAGGAGTGTCTGGAGGAAAATGCAGCCATGGGAGCTGGGCTGGAGGTCTGGGTATTCTTTGGAAAGTGTAAAAGACTGCAGAGAGCTGGGCCAAAGTACAGAAGCCTGGAGCTGTCTGGGGGGCCGTGAATGAGACAGCATGGCTGGAGCACGGGGTCTGTGTGGAAGAGGCCCCCCCCAGGGCTCAGGTCGGAACTGGGTGTCTTCAAAGTCTAGTCCAGGGGCTCGGCTTCCCCAAGGAGATACAAAGTACTGTATTCGAAAGTGCTCTTTTTATCCACCGATGTAGGTTTGGTGTCCTCTGTTCCCTAGAAGCAGAGCCTGAGGCAGGGATTCTTGTTCAAGGGATTTGGGGAGAGAGGGCACGCAGGAAAAAGTGAGTGTGGGCAGCAGGGTGGTAGGGACGCTAAGCTTTAGAGAAATGTGGCCTTGCTGGAGATGAGCTTCATTCTGATCCAGAGGAAGCTCTGGGTCACAGGGAAGACTTGTCCCACCTTGGGCCAAAGGATTTGGCAGACATTTGTACCCTGTGTTGGTCAGTCGTTGACCGGCCAAGATTGGAGGAGGGTGGATCCGTGTATGCGGGCTGCCTTAACAGAGTACTTCAGACTGGGTTTCTTCAACAAAAAAACGTCGAAGTTCTGGAGGCTAGCGGTCCAAAATCAAGTTGTCCGTAGGGTCGGTTCCTCATGAGAGCTGTGGGGGAAGGATGTGTCCCAGACCCCTCACCTTGGCTTGGAAATGACTGTCTTATCCCTGTGTCTGTACATCATCTTCCCCTATGTGCGTGTGTGTCTGTGTCCAAACTTTCCCCTCCTGTAAGGACACCAATCATACTGAATTAGGGCCCACCCTAATGACCTCATTTCAACTTGATTGCCTCTGCAAAGATTCTGTATCCAAATAAGGTCGTATTCTTTTAAATTTATTTATTATTTTTAACGTTCATTTATTTTTGAGACACAGACAGAACGTGAGTGGAGGAGGGGCAGAGAGAGAGAGGCACACACACACAGAATCCGAAGCAGGCTCCAGGCTCAGAGCTGTCAGCACAGAGCCGGACGCGGGGCTTGAACTCACATACCAAACTGTGAGATCATGACCTGAGCTGAAGTTAGATGCTTAACTGACTGAGCCACCCAGGCGCCCCCAGATAAGGTCATACTGTGATACTGGAGAATATGAATTTCGAGGAGGACACAATTGAACAGCCCGTCATAGGGAATGTGTCCTGCTGGGCAGCTCTCCAGAGAAGCAGCCAGCTGTGGGCTTCGGCAGCCAGGAGAAGGGACATGAGCCTGTGAGGAGCCTTTGTCAGGGCCCAGCAGCCGCCACCACTGTGTGTGTGTGTGTGTGTGTGTGTGTGTGTGTGTGTGTGTGTGTGTGTGTGTGTGTGTGTGTGTGTGTGTGTGTGTGTGTGTGTGTGTGTGTGTGTGTGTATCTGCGAATCTGAATAAATAAATACACATTCTCTTTGTCAGATACTTCCAGAGCGTGACTTGCCCCTTGGTAGCGTGTCCACAAATCTTACGGGACTGCAGATAACCAACACTGACTCCTGTCTTCTCTGCCCTGCCTAGGAAGCAATTATGCCCATCTAAAATACGACTTTCCCACTTCCTCGACCAACCTTTCGGTGGAGATAAGCTTAGCATCATTTTTTTTCCCCTCCGTCCTTAGTTTTCTCCTTGCAAAGAGAGAATGTCTATAATGTCTATTTATTTATTTTTAACACAAGAATTTTCAGTGTTGGAGAGAACTTGTGAAACACTGGGGATTAGGGCAGCCGGTGTATAGGACCCAAAAGCTATTTCCGGAAACCATAAGGCGCCACCGAAGTCCCCACCTACACAGCCTCTTTCCCCTTCCCTGGGGACTACAGAAAAAAGCACCCGGTGCTCTTTGTGTTTATATTGCCAAAGACAAGATTGTTTATGTGGCATGAGAATTACAAGAAATCATATGGACCTGTGTTTCTTACCAAATGCCATGGAATCAAGAGAAGACAGGACTCATTTGGGTTGGAACCTCAGGGAAATGTCTTCCTTTTTTTTTTTTTTTTTTTTTTT